CTCCCTGCTCAGCAGGGAGTCTGCTTCTCCCTCTGACCCTCCCTCCTCTCATGTGCTCTCTCTCTCTCTCTCTCTCATTCTCTCTCTCAAATAAATAAAATCTTTAAAAAAACTAAAAAAATAAAAAATAAAACCACATGAAGCCTCTCACTAGCTGGGATACTTGGGCAAGCTTCCTAACCTCTCCCAGCCTGGTTTCTGCCTTTATGACATGTGAGTAGTAAAGTATCTCCCTTGTAAGTTGTGTGTTGAAAATGAAATGAGACAACATATATAAAGTGCCTCGCTGGGTTTCTGACAACTGGAAAGAAGCCAGTTGTCATTTTCCAACCACCTCAAATCTGTAGGGCAGAGATATTCTTGTCCCCTGCTCCCCACTTCCAAGTACTCAAGCCTCCAATCCTCTCCAGCCAAATACACATGTCTAGCAGTTATTTCCAAGGCCACATGATAATACTGATGTCCTGCCTCCCTCAAGCTTCATTTCAAATTGCCCTCCCAGAAGCACTCTGTCCTACCATTTGGCCAAACTCCCAGCCTTGTGGCCAAACTGCTCTCTAATCGGTGGCATCCCATCACCTGTCCCTTTCCTAGCACCTTCCTTCAAATTGCATCCAGAAGCTACCCATGCTGTCCCCAAACTCATGGCTTGAGCTGTAGAGCTACACATCTTATGGTTCCATTCATTTGAGAACCCTGCAACCCAAAGCATCATTTACATAACACCTGAAGTGCTCCTGGCAGGACACAGCATTGCAGCATTTCCACTGGGTTCCTATTTTCTTTGTGTGACATTTCTCAAATAGATTGCACTGTGACCCTTCTGACTTTTAATCCCCAGGACTGACAGTGGATGTTACAATCTCCTCTTTTCATAAGTACTGTTACAGCTTCCCTTCTTCAGACTCTCACCTCTCATCATGCCCCTTTCACCTGATCACCCTATCACCATTTCTGAACATGCCTTGCCTCTTCAGGAAGATTGGCCTTTTCACATTGCTATTCCTTCTGTATAGAATGCCCTCCACTGTTTTCTAGCTAGCAAATTCTCCCATCCCCTGTACTACAGCTCAATGTCGCCTGTCTAGGAAGCTTTTCCTGTTCTACTCTTCAGGTTATGCATTTCTTCCCTGTGCTCCCACCATGCTTGATACATCTCTCTCTCTCTCTCTCTCTCTCTCTCTCTCTCTCTCTCTCTCTCT